TATCGTATTAACATGTATATTCTATTCTCGACCCTTTAGGACCTTGCGACCGCCCCCAAACGTCGACTTTATCTCCGGTAGGGTCCAGTCCACGTCGAGGCGATCAAGCTCATCAACTTACTGCACCAACAGGTTATCCTGGACTTGCTCCTGGTCCTCCAGATAGACCTCATGCTTCTGTAAAAGGGGTTAGTCATCCATCACCATCCCAAATGCGATGCTCGCTTCATGCTTCATGTCGCCTTGGCCCTTGTCACCACTTTTGCTAACAGACTTTTGAATTTTATTAGACCCTTGAAATACGTTCTCAGCAACCTCTTAAAGTCAAATGGGTGCATATGGAACTGAAAAAGATCGAAAGCGTACCAGGATCGCCACCGTTTGTGGACCTCGTAGGTTCAAAACCGACCGTACTCTGGGAACCTCAAAATTCAGAATTTGGCATTTTGCAGTCGGTGAGTTTATTGTCCCGTCCCGGCGAATTCTCTATCGCCCGATCCTCCCTCCTCCCAGAGGACGACCTTCGCACAGCGCAGCGTGGTTTACATGGTTCTAGTCCATTCATTCAATTTTAATAAAAATTTGATCGTTTCGCTAATCCTGCTACTTCCCAGGAAAACATACAATTTGACATTCGCATTCCAGAGTCCATACCACCTACTGTTGTGCTGGACAACGGGAGGTCTGGCATTAAATACGAGCTCATTGCGACTTTGTGTGCCAAGGGCAAAAAGTAAGAGCCATCGTTAGGGATTTGGTCCCATCTAACCGACCCTTAATAGGGGATTATTGCGAAAGGAGACCTCTCCTCTCTCAACGGCATCCTGTGAAGTCGTAATCCTCAAGCATGAATTGCACTCTACCTGGCCAGTTTACGCACAGCCTGAAGTCAGAGAAACAAGGAGGGACGGATTAACACTGGTCGTGTCACGTAAGAGAACATGTCTGGGCTCCGGGGGTGATAGCATCGCTATGCAAGCCACCTTACATGCAGAGATCC